TTTTTTCTTTCCTTTTAATTTAAACAATCTTTGAAACAATCTCACATCAAGTTCCCTTTATCTTCCTTTTTGGACATCCTGGAATATTTCCAAGTGGACGGATCAGTAACATCAATGCCACTTGAAAATGTACAGCTTTGTCTTGTCTTTATTTTCATGTGTCACGTTCAGGATTTTTTCACAGCAGCAGATCTGTACTGAGGTGATGGTTAGATTCATCTCTCTGTCCCTTCACCTTCCCATCCAAAAAAGCTATGAAGTTAACCGTCTTGTTTGAAAGTCTTGCAGTATACGAGTATTCTGCACAGTTGGCAAAAACATTTGTTGGTGCCTTAAGTCGTGACCTTTGTGTCCTCTTAGGACATTTCCCCTGGAGGCAGCATTTATGGTAGCCACTTCGACTTATGTACATAAAGCGAGAGCTTGTCTCCCACTCTACTTCACCTGAGTTTTCGTTTGCTGCCATGGCACATGGCCCTGCAGTGTGAAAGCAGCTGAGGTGGGATTGGCACTTGCTGTGTTGTGCTGAAATGAATGGCTGAGTTAGAAACAGTTGGAGTGTTGCAATTAGTTTGCTGAAGGATCAGGAGGGAGACATTCATTTCACTGGTGCAGAGTGGATTCAGTGCTAGTGAGCATCTCATGCCTGGATGTGTAAGCTGCTCCTTATGTGTCGAGGCGGCGTTTTCTCTTGGCTTTATGTGCATACAGGAAGTACATAGTGTGCCCCGTGGTGATGAAGAACACAGAAATTATAACTAGGATGCCAAAGTGTTGTGGCTGCGGAGCAGAGATCACCATAATGAAGTGAAGCAGGTCCATCAGGTAATTCATGGAGCTCTGCACCCCGTTAACCACTCCTCTCTCTGATTCACAGATGTTCTCCTGCAGAAGCTGAGTCACAGTCAGGTCAAAGGACCAGAGACCTGAAACACAGTAATAGATGAACTGACCTTTATAACAGATGGGCACTGATTCAGCTGCAAGTAAATTTCATTTGACCAGATTAAAATTTGTACTTGTATAACAAAATTACCCAGAAAAGTCACATTTTGGGCAGATTTATGTATTTTTTGACATATATTTCATATTCTACACCAATATTTAAACTCTATGCATCAATAGAAGTAAATATCCCAAAACCTTGTATGTAATGAGAAATACATTTTAGAGTTTACAATAGTGCTCTCTGGTGGACTGACTAGGTAATTTTTATTTTTTGTTAAATTGCCTCAAAAAGATAATTATCACTATATATCAGTATATTCAAAATAAATTATTACTGGAATATCTGCCGTGTGCCCACATGAAATGGGCATTAAAAATGGCAATATCACTTGTACATAAGTTTTTCTATGCACTGAATAAGCTCTGAATTTGTGTCTACTCACCAATGCGCGCTGTAATGACACCCAAGAACAGCAGAATAATGGAGATGTAAGATTCTGGAGCTGTGCCGGAGGGAACATTGTCAAAAAGCACCGTGTTGTTGGTCCAGTGGATAGAAGAGCGGTCGGGCAGAAGTGGCTGATTGCTGCCTCCCATCATAGGGTATGTGTGTTTTTGCCTTTGGCCTGTCATCCCACCAAGCGCTGTAGAGGAATTGGAACTAATGTCGGGCATCAGCAAGCTGAGATCCATGGGGCTGCCAGGGGCAAACACAGAGCACACGCACAGCAGCAAGCAGCCCAGGTGGAGGCAGCTTGAGATGATGCCTGTGTTGACCAGGCCATAGGCCTTCCTGAGCCTGGTGAACATTATTGTGCCCATCAAGCCTGTGATGGCTGACACGCCCATCAGCAGACTAAGAAGAGATCCGCTTATCCCCTGAGTATAGGCATAGCCAGTGGTGATGCAGTCAAACCCAAGCACTGTGGTGTAAAGGAAAGCCAGACCCATTCCCGCGAGGAAAACAGGCTGACGATAGTAGGCCATCCAGCCATCTTTACAGGTGCTCACCAGCCAGCGGAACCTCCGAAAACACAGCGGCAGATCGGTGATTTCCTTGAGGTGTAAGCTTGAGTTGCAGTTGCCCTCTGTCAGAGCCTGAGGTCGCGCAACATTGCCTTCTCCTAATGAAAAACAAGAATGGCATCCATCACTTGAGTTCATTAATTCTAAAGGCCTAATCCTCACGAGCTTTTCTGCACCCCCTCTATGCCACGTCACGTTAGCCTCTACATCATTTGTCAAACGCAGTTCATCTACGCTAATGTGTGTGAGTGCAAACAGAAATCTATACCATGTGGACCCTTGCATTTGGATGTTGTACACAAACTCAAAACTGTGTTTTAAGATAATGTATGTCAAAAAGCTTTGGTGCTGGATCTTTTTTTTTTTTTCGGAAAGAGGCGGCTCCCATGAAGATATGATTCCTCATCTTGATATTTTGAAAACAAACATAAGTAACTGAGAAACGGAGGCACACTGTAGTACTGGCTTCTCATTCACAGTGTAAGCCTGCCCTAAAGCACCTAAACACTTTTTTTAATCCCACACTAGAGAAATTCACTTTATCCTCCCTTTTGACAATAATGGGGATGTAAGGGCTGTTTTCAGACACCCCAAATCTTTTGCAAAAGTAGTTTTTCTTCTATTAGAAAGAATACAGGTTTAAGGCACTGCTAGATTGGATTCCCTTTTTGATCTATGAAAAAGATCCAATGAACAGTTCATACCTTGTAACCTTTTCCTCTCTATCCTCTGGAGATATGCTTGATCCACTGCAACCGATGGTGGTTTGGCTGACAGAGCAGGGACGATGCGATAAACCCGTGACAAGAAGAAGAACTCCACAATTAGAGACACCAGGTTCCAGCCCAGGATGAATCCACAGCCAACTACGTTGGAGGCAAGGGTCATGACCTGTCCCACTGCTAGTGGAGCCAGGATGTTAGTCACCTGATCTATCCGCCTCATGGTTGCATTCATTCCTTTTGTTAGGAACAAACACAGAGGTTAATGTGTGTCCAGCATCGGAAGCTAAGCAGTAGCCAGTCAATATCTGATCTTTTCTATAGTTCGAGGATCTATCTTCCACAGACAAGCCTCAAATACAAACCAGTATATTCATTAACAGACTGAATGTCCTCACCCGCTAGGTGACCTCGGTTGTAGCCTGTGATGACCACAATCCAGTCCCTCTGAATGGCAATGGTCAGTGCTGTGCTTGCAAGGTTTGCCACATCTGCCAGGACGATCACCACCGTATAACAAACCACCTTGTGTGAGTTTTGCGATGCAACATGTTACTATGACAGCACAGAGTAGCCACAAGCTCAGAGGCAGAGACAACAGGGACACGAGACAGAGGGGACAACAACAGCAATGACTTCTCTGTGTAGTACTCATATCAAGTATATATAACCGAAACACAGCGATTGTGTTGTAGCAAGTATGTAGTGTCTACTCACAGTAAGCCATCCATCCCAGATCTGTTCAATCCTTTGCTTGTATGAGAACACCAACATGAGCACAATGCTACATATTGTCACCGAGATGTTCTGAACGAAAAGAGATGCATGTGCAACTAAAATAGAAGATGGAAAAAACGAATTTCAAATATGCATTTTTTTTTTTTATGGGGGTTGTAAAAAATGAATGCTAGTCATAACAGATACGAGTCAGTGGCTATGAACCTTGTGCCAGGAGGTTTACACTTGAGACATCTGGCGAATAGCAATTCACCTCCTAGTGAGATAGGAAACCAGCAAATTTCCTGGCCCAAGATTGAAATCCACTGAGCTCTTATCACTGTACCTCGCTATATTACATGTTAGAATTTTCATATGGGTATGAGATTGCTGTGCATACCTTTATTCCTAGGATTCCGATCAACCCAGTCTCCAATCAAAGCCCCAAACATGAGAACTGACCCAGCCACCACCAATCCAAACACCGCAGTCAACAGCAAGTTACGGCCGTACAGTTCAATCAGGAACACAGAGATTGCGAAGTGCCACATGCGGTCGCCCTGTTTAACACATGAGAAAAGTCATCATCGTGTGTTGTGTTGCAATATTTTCATCAGTGTGCTGTGACACAGTGTAAAGAGACTACCTTGCAGTCCTTTAAGTTGCGAAGTCTTACCTATTGCCCCACGAATGTTTCTTCAGGAAATGATTCTTACCCACATTGATAATGCTCCACTGACATAGATGAGAAACTTGGGACCCCTGAGGTAGATAAGAGCTGAACCTTAAAAGGAAATGCATCAAATCAAATAAGCAGATATTCCATTGGCTACAAAGACACTGCACAAATTCTAATTGGATTTTAATTCGAGTTCACCTGGTATACGCGTAGCTTTTTCAGCTTTTGCATCCCGGATGTTGTCAGACTCGAACTCAACCACAACCCCACCACACTGGGAGGCATCTTCCCGCTGCGACATGTCCTAGTGAAGTGTTATCGAACTTGTCACACCATTCTGATGTTGCTGATAGCACAGTGTGTCATATATATGATAACAGTAATATTTAGATGATCACAAATACAGCTGATTTGTTTATCCTAAAAGGTCGCTTTCCTCTTGACGACTACAAAATCCTCGCTTGGACGATTACTGTTTATTTATGTAGTGACAACTCTAGAACAGCACAGAAATGAATATGTGACAATTTGTAAGCAGCTGGTCAAACACTGCATTTTTTTCTTACCTTGAACTTACTTCAACAGCAGTTGAAACGGCACGTCCTTTTGAACTCAGTAAACTTCTGTAGTCAGTCACATCAGGTTTCTTTTTTTTCCCCCAAAACTAAAAGAGCCATAAATAATGACCAACATTGGTAGTGCCAGATTGTGAAGCAGAGAAGAAAGTAAGTAATTGTATATGGCAATAATTAAAATTAAAATAGAATTATTATGTTACCTTGCATAGCTTTATCCATACAGACATAAAGCAGCAATAATCAAAGTTAATGGAGGCTCAGTTGTTACCTTTTGTTTTCTCGTTGCAGTCAATCCTTGCTGTTGTTCCTCGACGATGAATCTTGTGCCATGTATCCTACATTGGGATGCTAGTCTTTCCTGAGAGCTGGAATTCAAACTGTAGTAGTTTGAAAGGCTTAATAACATCAGGGTGTTCAAGTGCACCATTGTATGAAAGTGCCAGAAAAGCAGAACAGGCAGGGAGGCAACAAAGGCAGCCAGCATATTCCAAAGCACATGACGCTGGAGGGACAATATCACCGTCCACCCACACCACAAAAAGGTAACTGCGTGTAACTCAAAACACACACACGCACGCACACATGAACATGACTAGTGAGCACATGCATGTACCGCTACTCTCATACAGTCACATGCACTGTTGACATGCAGCATACCTAAAGGACACATTATGCAACACTACATCACTCTTGTGCATGTAACCAAGAGTAGAAAGAAGATTATCATGTAGCAAAAGTTGGGTTGGGCAAATGTGAATGAAATCACAAAATCAGCTCATGTGCTTATGTACATTTTAACTGAAAATTGTTTCTTTTATTAATATATGTGCTGATCACAAACTACACATGTTACAGTATCCATCATGCTCCATTCGTTCCTATCCAAACATCAGCACAGGAAATTAACTGTCATCTTCCTTTAATTGAATAATAACACAAACATGAGAGTCAGTTCCAGCCCTTGGTGATCTGTATTCACAGAGATATTGTCATGCATTGAATTGATCAGGCTGCATCTCTGTCTCTGATACAAATGATGCATTTAGGTTAAAAAAAATATGATTTTCAATATGTTAAGGATATTATTAGGTGTAATAAGCATGCAAAACCATACCTTAAAAAAGATGGGAAAATGTAAAAATAAGAAGTGGAATCATTTTGCTTGCCTTTTTGTTTTTCAAATGAACATACAGAGAACAAAGTTAATAATGAGTGGCAGGGGTTACTTGTAATCCTGACCACCAATCAAATAACATAGGTCAAGATATCTATTTACAATTCCCCATGATAATACTCATTTGCATATGGACTTTGATTGTCTGTTCATGGTGTAATTCTTCAGGAAGCACATGAATTTATAGAAAGCCACAAGGGGAATTGAGACTACAGGAAGGATCGATAAGAGCACACAGATAACAAAAACCCATTCAGGATAGTGCAGGACATCAGCAAGGGGGAAGTGAACCTGAGGGGGTGATGCAGTGGAAAGTCAGTCTTTGTTCCAAATTTAATGAAGTGTCATAATGGTACATTAATCTGGGTTCCATGCATTGTATGTTGGTTGTTTCTCAGCCTCGATCACAACATAAGCCACAAAAACCACCAGAAGCATGAACGGGCTGATAAAGCGCCACATTGCCTGCCAGTAAATGTTAGGTCTCCGCCCTGTCATCCATTCAATGTCGTCATTAAATCTGTGGGCAAATGGAAACATTTGTAACATTTGTCCTTTTAAAAACACTGTTTAACATAAGCATAATCATGACATACATTGACAATGATAATATCACCTGTTTATTCCAAAGATGAAAGCCACAGCGATGATCTCAAAGAAAGCTATGTTGAGTAGTGGCACGGATCCTACATAACTGTTAAAAATTTCCAGCCAGTAGTTTCCAGTGCCCAAAGTGAAGATTAGGGCCACAGCAAAGGAGATGAGACAGATTAACCCTGTAAGCAAAATATCAGACATCATAAGACATGTGACTATAAACTAAAATCACTAATATAAACACCTTCAGAGAGAACATAAAGGTTTCTTGCAAAAGTAATGCATGTGTTTTGAAATACCAGGTGGGACTTAGTCATAGTCACAATTCTATGTAGAGAGTAATAGATATCTTGCACCTAACTTTATCATCTTTATTTTTGTTTTAATAATATAACACAATACAAACCAGTTTTCTTAGTGCCGTCAGTGAAAATGCAACACTAAGCTGTTCAGTCTTTTTGGTATACCTGTGAAAGCTTCCTTAGGAATCCAGGTGGAACTATGTGTAAATCCAGCAGAGGAGTAAGGACGCCCTCTAGATTTCCAAACATGGAGGACAGACTGAGACAGAAGAGCATAACAAAAAAGAGGACCTACACCTGCGAGGCTGACATTTCAATCACTGCCTCAGTAAACAAAATAAATGCCAGTCCAGTTCCTGAAGCACTCTAAGAGTGGGAAATGATATATGATCACAAATACATAAATGCTAATTATTTTTAATATGAGTAGATGTACTACACCAAGCTTTGAGATTGAGACTTTTAACTTCCAAGGGATTGTCTTATTGAGATAGTTTAACCACTTGCCATAGTTTTCAAGAGTTATGTTGCCAACCCCGATGTTAAATGCATTTGTCAGGGTTAATATGTTCCTGATATCAGCAAAAAACAAACAAACAAACAAAAACACTATTAGTATTAAAAGCATTAATATTAAATGAGAAATGTTTGCTTTAATATTGTATCTATGTAATGTTAAAGCTTAAGTTTCACATCATTTTTTTTATTTAACTTACCAGTTTTGGTAGTTGTTGTTGTTTTAATTTGCCTTAAAGCCAAGAATGGCAAAGATAGGAACTGACGCATATATTGATGTAAAACTGTTCACACATCCAACAATAAGGGCATCTCTCTCACAGTTATTCCTGCAAAAATAAAACAAAACAATGTATTGATCAGCATAATGTATGGCTTTTAAAAAAACATTTTCTTTTGGCTTTTCTTACTTCTGAGGATTATAACTGGAAAAAGCAATAAGTCCCCCAAAAGCCAAAGACAAGGGTGGCAGCATCCAGTCAAACCTTAGGATTTTTCAAGGGTTTCCACTGTGATAAACATTAGTTAGATATCAGATTTATCACATGAAATTATGTTGGTAAGGGGGAAAAAAGTAATAGACTTACATTTGGAGTGAAAAGATATATCAAGTCATCACTTGTTCCAGGGAGAGTCAAGGCTCTGATCAAGAAGATGGTCAAAACAAGATATGGAAAAGTGGCTGTGGCATAAATAGCCTGTTGGGGAAAAGTTTGGATGAACTCTTTTCATCAGTGTATCGTCAAAAGAGATTTTTACAGCTTGTAACACTTTTAGGTATTGTTACTTTTATAGGTAATAAAGAAAAATAAATGTTTAGTCTTCTGCTTATCCATCACAGTTACTGCCTTTAATGCAGCCAGTAGAAGTTGAATTTTGACCTTTATTCCAATTTACGGAAGTTTGATCGAAAAATATTTCGAATGCATGATGAAGTGAAAGTAACATGCTGCACATATGCAACACAACTAACTTATTCAACCAACTGAATGGATGCCACAAACTGCAGTACAGTGAATATGCATGCCGACCAAGAAAAACAATGTAGTGGCTATTGAAGGCAATCACTAATGTTAATCAAGAAATCTATAAACGTGAGCCTCTAGACTGTCTGCCAAATCACCAAACAGTCACATTCCATTTGGTTAACAATTTGTGTTGATATATGTTTCGACAAATGGCCAACATATGCAGGGCAAAAGTATGCTATTCCCTCATGCAACTATCTTTTCAAGGTGGAAAAACCTTTATCAAACCTTATTTATCTACCATGCGGGTGCAATAAATGGAGCAAAAAGCTTAATATATCAACATTGGAGACCCAATGGTCTCAATTCCTCTTATGAAGCAGATGTACACGATGCACCAAGCAGATGCAAGACACAATACCAACTACTACTGTAAGGACCCACTGGTCTCAATGTTTGGTGTTATGTTCAGGCTTTAGAAATTAGAGATATCATAAGTAATCTGTGGGCCTTTATCGTGATGTCAATATTACCAGTATGATTCAGGTTTACTGGGCAGTCCCTCCAGGGAAGTGGACTCTGAAAGGAATGGAAGAAGTATCACAGGATCCAGGCCAAGATCATGTTGTAGAACAGTCCAACCAGGAAGGACACCAGCATCGAAGCCACGCCTGTTTTTAAAAATTCAACCTAATTAACATAAATTATAGAGCGGTGTTAAGTATGACACAAGTTTGCTAATTTTTCGCATTTTTCGAACATCTGGTATACGACCTTTTCGCAAACCAGATGTTCTCACCTACACCTCCTGGATATGGGGAGATTGAACACTCCACACTCCAACGCTTCCCATGCGTAGCCACTGTCCAATGGCCAGTTCCATGTGCAGCAGGGGAAGTCCCTCAAACACCAAGGCAATGACATAAGGAATCAGAAACTACAATCTTGCATTTTTTTCAGTAAGAAGTAAAAAGAAAATAAAAATTAAGGTTGGTTTGATGGTGAAGGACATTTCGTTTTTGACATTTTGTTATCAGCAGGCAGACCTTTATCATGCTCATCTGCACCAACTAACAGATCTTAACACCAGATACAATTCTTTTAGAGTTTACATTATAGTGAGATTTAGGTAACATTAAAATTTACGGTCATGTTGAAACAAAATGTCTTCAGAAACTTTAATCATTCTCTTCTGGAAATTTAGATCTTGAAAATTATTTTAATATATCATCACTGCAACCAAGTCTTTGCAGTGAGAGCATATGAAATAAGACCCACGTGGAAGCTGAAACCAGAAACCTGTCAGAATTAATTATTTTTAATACATGCATTGTTACTTTATTAAAAATATTATTTGTGTTTTATTAAGTGTAAAAGTAGTAACATTTAAGAGCATCTATTATCTATTTTTTTGTTTAATGTCAACATTAAACGACACTGTGTAACAGAGTTCTGCTTACCTCCACCATAGCTCTGACACAGATATGGGACTCTCCATACATTACCAAGCCCAACAGCAAAACCTATGCAGGTTAGCAAATATTGAATTTTATTGTCCCATTTTGGCCTTTGAGTGATCTCTTTCTGCTCATCACTTTCAGCTTCCATGTCGAACATTTGCTCCTTGTTATTTTGGTGTATTTCTAAGGTAAGCACAAATCCTCACATGTAACTCATCTCTCCGTTAGGTCTGATGAAGAGAAAGGGAGAACGCGGTGACTGCTTTATCAGCTTCTTCTAATTTCTTATTGACTGTTAAAGCTATGGGAACAGCTACGGCTTGTTTGATAAAAGTGTTTGTATAAAATGACATGATAAGATGCTGATAACAGAAGCAATGACAGTTGACTGAGCACGGATACCATAAGGAACCCATGAAATAAAACTGTGGTAGTGAGTTTTCA